GATTAAAGATGATCTCTATAATTATTTTCAAATTTCAATTAAGTTACAACTTAATTGTGCTATAAAGAAATTTAATTGCGTCACAAATTGCAACTTAATTATGCCATTTTTTTAATTATGATGCTTATTACTGATAGTATTTCATCAAGTTTAATCTCACCTTCTATAATCAAATCTTTAAGACTGACATGCATAACTTTGAAAGAATAATAGTCTATAAATCTTAAATTTTCAACTAAAATAACTTTATACATATTAAATAATTATTTTTGATAAATATTTTCCTTCATCCTTATTATTAAATTTTATTTTTTTAAAAACTTATCTAATATTAAAAGGAAATTCTTGGTTAATATTAAAAAAAATAAGATATACATTTTTATTATATTTGATTATTTATAATGATATAAATAGTTATTTTGTATTCTTATTAACTATTATATTATGTTTATTATTGATAAAATCTGTAGTTATTTTATTTGCTAAGGAAAAAAAAGATTAGTAAAAATTAGTTTATTGTAAATTTTGAATTTTTAAATTAATAATAAGTAATATTTTAAGTTTTTAGAAATTAGCATTTTCTATGAAGCTTTAAGTTTAGTTAGTTCAGAAACTACTGAAAATAGTTTATAACTAGTATCACAAAAAGAAGTAACTTGTATAGGTGAAAATTTTATTTATTTACTAATATGAGAAAGAGATTACATATGTATATATCTTACAAATTGATCATCTATTGGTCAAGTTCATTCAAATTATTTTGAAATCTCAGAAATAGTTTAAAGATTAAAACTGGTTAATTTTTAACTGAGTAATTAACTAATTAAGATATTTATCTTGTTAAACAGTTAAAGATTTTTTTAACCAGTTAAAATAACTAATGTTAACTTTGGCCAAAATTTGATTTTCAGTCAGAATTAAAAATTTTTTTGCAATTATAGTTTTATTCAAATTTATAGTACCGGCTTAAGTTAAATTTAATTGATTAATTAATTGGTTAAAAAATTTTTGATCAGTCATTAACCAGTTAAGAATTTTTTGACTAATTTTAACCTCTAGAATAGTTTTATATTTTTTTTTTGTATTATTTTTTGATAATTACTAATTAATGTAATAAATATCTTAAAAATATATTAATAAATTAAAATAACTATATATTTTGATCTTTCTGATAATTCTATATTTTTTTTGATTTAATGTAGTTGATATTTTTATTATTTGATTATGATTTGATTCAATATACATTATTAATATTCCATTAAGATCTTAAACTACAGTTTTAATATTTATTTCTTTAGTTAAGGATGCTATTTTAAACTGGTTTTAGTTAAACAAAACTATTTTCAGTAGTTTCAGCTATAACTAAACTAGTTTTGTCACTTAACTAAATTAGTTTCAATTATTTTAAACTACGGAATTTTAGTTTCAAACAGCAATACTACCTTTAGTAAAATTGTATTCAGTTCTAATATATCTTTTTATGACATATACAATCTAATTGTTTAGTAAAATATGAGAAATAATTAACATTTAGTATTAAATTTATTTACTGTTATATGATGAAAATTAACTGTAATTTTTGCTTTACTTAGTTAAAAAAAATCTATTCATGTATTTCTATTTTATACCAATTATACCAATAACTTATAATTGCTATTAATTTAGAATTATGATAATATCCTTTATTATCTGAGATAATTTTAAACTAATAAAGTTTCAGATTAATTTTTTCAAATATTACTTTAAAATATAATACTGTTAACCAAGCATTTTAATTAGTATCTGAATTCTAATGATTTTAAACTTGAATTTCTAATTTTTATTATTTTTTTATTTTTTTAAAAGACTAAAGTTATATAAAGTATTTATTCATTTTTTCTAAAAAATTTACTCTTTGTTTTTTGAGCTGTTGCAAGCAAAATTTGTATTTTATAATCAATAACATTAATAGCTCTATAATTATCTAATTTTTATAATATAGCATATTTAAATATGATTTATGAGTTTGATATAATGCATAATATATTAATTATTCTTGATATTTGGTAAGTTTATCATAATAAATAATATTGATTATATTGATATTAAAAAATCTATCACATTTTAGACATTATTGAGAATAAATATAAATAATAAACAATAATCAATACAATCAATATGATTGATTATATCATTTCTTTATAACTAATTCTTTTTCATAATATGATATGTAATAATTCTATTTTAATAATCCAATAATTCTAAAAAGAATTATATGTAAATATAATAATATTATTTATTAAAATTATAATAAAAAAATATGATAACTGACCTATAATATTTTATCAGAGAAGTTTATATTAATTATATTAATCAAATTTTTAAAAAGTTGATATCTATAACTATTAAACACAATTTTATTAGTATTTGAAATGACTATTTTATAATCAAAACATAAAAGATGTATGTTTTATTTCATTTGAATAAGTAGCTAAAAATTTTTTTAAGTGTATTTTTAATTTTAAAATAAAGTATTAATAATTGTATTTTTTTGCATAAATTTTATAAGAACTCATATATACATTTTGTTTATTAGTAAAATATAATTTAAACTCTTTTTATTATTTTATATATCTTTAAATAAGTAATAATAGGTTTTTCTAATGTAGCATAATCAGGTTCATTAATTCAGAAAAACTTTTATGTTATATTAATACTAATTGAAAATACCTAATTATATATAATTTTAAAATCATTATTATATTTGATATATTTGATAAGTATAATCATCTTACCTTCAAATTATCAATTATTTCTTGATATGTAAATTTTTCTGTAATTATTGATAATAAATATTGTTTACTATTTATTTCTCTAATATTTATATTATAGTTATCATGAAAACATTCACAAAATAATTTAATAATATTTATAATTGATAGGATTAATTACTTTTTTAAAAATCTATTTAGATATAATTCTTAAGTATTTTATGATTTTTTTTTGGATCTGATGAGTTTGTTCAAAATTTAATCTATAAATTGATGTATTTTTAATTTATTATTATTATTATATATATAATTTTATTTTATTATATTACCTTAGAAATTTTTATTATATAGAATAATGTTTATTTATACATTTCATAACATAAAATAATAAATGTTACGCTTATAATTACGTTTTTTTGAAAATTATAATTTGATATATTTTACTAAAATGAGTATATAATTCAATTATATTGGTTTTTTTTTCTTATTAACTTTGAAAAAACTTGATACCACTTATTAATTGACTTTCTAACTACTTTTTTTATAATTTAAATAAATGCTTTATAATTATTTTATTATTTCAATCTAAAGACATATATATATTTGGTATAAGTATTTTGTACGAAAAATTTATTTCATTTATTTATTTTAATTTATATACTATTATAGGATAGTTTATATTAAATAAAGTAACTTCTGAAAAGAATTTTAGAACTTTAATTTATTATTATATAGTATTAGATGAAATGTAGTGTTTTTATATTTAGTAACAATTTGATTATTCTAAAAAATTAAATCTTAATTTATACATTAAAAAAAAAACAGATTGTCTATTTTTATATTTGTAAAATAAGATGATAAATAATTATAACCAACTTTGTTTGGTTTTGAATAGGTAATTTTTCAAAAGAACTAACAAATTAAGATACTTTTTTAATTCAAGAATAAAAGGTAAAAACTAACTCTTTTTAATAATTTTTGTATTATTACAGATTAATTAATTTAAACCAAAATATAAAAGTTCAGAAAATTTTGCTTTAATTTTATATTGCTGTAAAAGTACTTGTAACTAACTATACTACTACTTTATCTTTTTCTCTCGCAAATATAATCAGATTGTAAAGAACTATGAATATAATAAACTGTATAAAGAAAAAAGGCTGTTTATTTAATAGTATTAAAACTTTTATTTCTAAACATATAGGAATGGGATATGTGAAATTTTTTTGATTTTCTTTAGAAAAAAATCACTAATTATATATATATGAGCTCTGGTATAATATTATCAGTAGCAACAAGTTTGTTTGAGATTATTTTAATATTTGACATTTTTTATATTTCAGAAAATAGAGATTTTAAAATGAATTTTTTTATTAATTTATTTAATACTGCATTTGTTATTGCAATTTTATCAGTCACATATTGGCATTAAATTTTTATTATATGATATAATTAAAGAAAATTTATTATAATATTAGATTTATAAAATTAATTGAAAAATTTTTTATAAAAGTAAATCAAAAGAAATAAGCAGGTAAATATTTTTATAACTCTTATAATTTAAAAAATAATAAATTTTTAATATGATAATATATATAATTTAAAATTTATATTAATAGTTAAATTATTAATAAAAAGAATAATATGATTAATGGCTTAATTTAAAATTTAAATTTTATATAGAATTTATTATTCCTAAACTGATATTATTTAAATATTATTATTTAATAAGATTAATTAAAATAGATATATTTGAATTTTGAATTATATTAAATTTAAATAAATTAAATTTTATATAAAATAATTAAATAATTAGTATATTTAAATATTAAATCATTTTTTTTATATAATATTATAAAACAGTAATTGTTTAAAATACATTCAATTTATTGCTAACAATTACTGCTTTATTGTTAATTTAATTATTTGATTTAATTGATAAAATGTAAAAATACTACTTTTTTATTAAATAAAATATTTTAATACTTAATAAATTCGAATATAAATAAATTTTACAAAGAGATAAAGTGTAAAAAAAATTATTTTTTGATTTCTTAATGTATTAGGTATGATAATTCAAAACTTTATGATTAATGTATTGAATCTAAAAATAGGTACATCAATAGCTATTAATATTTTCTTATTTATTTATTCGAAATGGATTTCTATATTAAGGAAAAAAAAAATTGATTTCCCAAATTTATAGAATACCATGACTTTTCACTCTGTATATTTGCTTCACGACGTAAATTAAATCCAGCCAAGGCTATCAAAAAATTGCCAAAGTTTAGAAGCCTTATTTACATCAAAGTTTACTAAATGTTGAGCGTCGACTTTCTTGAAAATTTTATTTTTACTCTGGAATTCTTCTGCACCATTAAGTATTGCCAATTTTCCTCTCAAATATTGTAATGGTGGCATTCGCAACGTTGAACATACTTTACGTTCCTCATCATGAAGCAAGTTATATCCTTCCAAATCTTTAATATAGAGAGGTTTAGATCCATGATGCCACGTTATACGGCATTTAGTGAAATTCAAAGAAGTATGATTAATGTTTAATAAAATTATCTTGTAGATCAATTCATTTAAACCTAAAACGAATGGATTTTCCTTTGGTTTTTGTTCAACTTCTTTACTTTCTTTTAAGGTCTTTAACAATAGATTCGGATTTTTACGATATATTTCGTAAATATTAACTCTAAACACGTAATCATCATCATCTGACGAAGAATCTGGTGATCTTCGCGGATACAGTTGCTTTCTGAATGAATACCGTTTCGATTTCTTAACATTTGAGCTACGTAATTGAGGTTCTGTTGTACCGTCAACTATTATTAGAAAATTTTGAATTGATGTTATTTTTGCGTTATTAAGATTCAAGCAAAGTAATTGCACATTTGTTGATGAGTACAATTTGTTGAGTATTCATAGGAAAAGTTTACCGTACTTGGAGAATTACTGCCGCCATTATTTGATAACATATTATCACCAACACTAACCGCATTTGTGTCGTTGAATAACTGAAGTAATTGTTGAGGGGCTTCGGATAACTTCCACCGGACTTTGTTAGTTTTAGTTTTGTTGTTCAATGGAGTAATTTCGTTACTATTAGTTATATTAACAAGAGGCTCAGTTGTTCTGTTCTTCATCTTGTTAGCAAAAGTAGTTATCGTGCTGCTCTTAACCTCGTTAACAAAAGCCATTGTGTTGCTCTTAGTGCCGTTAAATGAACAATTAATTATTATTTCTAGGTAATGTAGCCAAGTAAGGTAACGAGTTGAATTTATTTTTGTTAAAAACGGGAAGTATTAGAGAAAGAAGACAAAAAATTGGTTGAATCAGACATAAAAACACTTTTTATGTCGGAAAATTTTCCGATTGGATCGACTTTTCCAGCTTTACCACTCGAAAACGTCACTACTAAATGTATACACAAAGTTTTTATTTAAGTGTATAACAAAAGTTATTATGATATTTGTGGTGATTTCACCTATTATATTTGTCGTTATGAGTCATAACAAAAGCTGTAATAAATAGAAAATCATTTACATTTTAAAATTGTAATTGAATAAAAGTATAAATAAATACTCAATAAAAATTTAAATACAAGATATCCTATCAATTTAAAACAATATATACTGTAAATACTGTAACTAAGATTTTAAAAATTATTGCAAAATAACTTTTTGATTTCTCATTTTATCTAGTCTACTAACACAAGTAAACAACTGATTGTTCGCTGTTAACCTCCTCATTTCATCCAAAAAATTGTCGATTAGTCCCGTTTTTCTAGATTCAGCCTTAAAAAATAAAATTTACATATTAAAAAAGTTTATCCAAAAAAAATTGCAAATGGCAAGTCAGATGTGAAGACGTAGTTCCAAGCCATTAGCGGAGACATAGTCCATAACCATGCGAAGACGTAGTTCCATTGGTAGCTGTAGTATCGGACAAAAGACGAAAGTGGGTAGCTACTGAATGTGACCTATTAAACTGCATATTGACCTTGAATTAACCTTTGAGACATTTCGCATTCTTTTCCTCTTCCGTACTTTTTTATTTATTATATTGAAACTTTTAGTCACATTTGCTTTGTCCAAATCCAAATTGCCATCCTCCCATGTTTATAGTAAGTACTAACTAATACCAGTCTTCGCAGAGAGATTTTAAAAATTCGGAGCCGGCTTTCTTCAGATAACATGAGAAAACTGATAAAGATAATCAAATTAATTCTGAAGAAAATTTTAAAGACGAAAAGAAAGATTAAAGTGTACACCAACCAAAGTATTGCCGTAAAGGGTGGATCACAGCGTGCATGAGATCACGAAAAGGTGTGGAGTCCCGTGGAGGTGATGAGTGGTGTACAGTGATGTTTATTATGATCACGTGACATTTGTGTGAAGCGTACTCAAGTGACATATACCACCTCCAGCCCACATTATTATAATTTTGGCCGGTTAATATTATTCATCACTTGGTTAAATGTCACACGAGGTGATGTACACCACTCATCATCTTCACGGGACTCCACACCTTTTCGTATCACTCCCCCCCAAAAAGGGGTATAGACCTTAACCTCTTTCCCCGTGATTGGCCGATCGATTTCAATTGAATTTAAAGTACTTTTCGAGATTTTAGATAAAAATAAGTTAAAATTTTATTTTCAGCTCCTAAATAACTTTAAATCTCTCTATACAAAAGAATCAAAAAAGAATCAAAACCCGGAGGACTTAGAAGACAAAATATACTTATCACAGAACCATGTGTAATTATTATATGCAAACTAATTGGAGAAAGGTAACCGAGTTTGTTATTACCAACTTTGTCCATTTAGGCAATACAATATCTTGAACTGTTATAATGAAATCGTAACAAGGAATTCAGTTGAATCCTAACATTTTCAAGCAAGCATAGCATCCATTTTGGGACAATTTCAGCCTCTGCCTTTACCTCAAGTTCAAACTCAGTCACTGCTACCCTTACTTTCTATTTTATCCTTTTCCAAAGCAATAAAAATATTAACTGATATTTTATATAATTACGAAAATGAGAAAAGAATTTGGCGATATATTTTTTTGATGAATTTCACACAGTTATGGAGGGGAAAGATACAAGATTAAAGGGTTTTTTTTTGATGAGCTATATCTCTCATCTAACCCCCTTCAAATATGAAAGTTCACAGGTACAGGGCGAAAAAACAGCTCCTATTTATATGGTAATTTCTTTGCAGAATTCATAACAAGTTTGTTAATGATGCAAAAGAAGATTTGACAATAAATACTTGCGAACATGCAGAGAAAGTAATGATATTGAATATCAATGATTAATATAGTATCCATATAAAATGGATCACTACTACTTTTACTGCAGCATATCTAGTAATAATTTTAATAAACCTGATTACTATGCAATTCTAAATATAAATATATATAATTCTAGATTGATTGATATCAAGCTGATAAAACTGAATCCAAGAAAAAGATATATGATGTTTCACATAACTAACGCTGGGGATTTCGTTCAGTTAATGATAATACTAAATTGAAAGAATTAACTGTACATAATTATGATATTAGATTAAAAGAGAAATGGAACAGCTATCTCTTGATATATCTTGTTAAATAATCGAGAATTAATATGGGACCTTTACAATAGAAAGGGAAAACTGCTGGAAAACCAAAACTGAGTTAATGCTAAATTTGAACATATTTGGTATATATAAATAAAATTGATTTTTTAATTTTTCAATGCAAAGGCCCCATATGATAAAGATTTTTTATTTTATCAACCAATAATATTTTAGAAAAATTAACCATTTCCCCTCAATTTCAACAATGGACAAATTTTATTGATAAATTTTATAGGCCTTTGCTACGCTCAGTTAATATATAATTGTGACGTGACGTGTATTGACGTGAAATTTCAAATTTTATGACATGATGCAAGCTAATAAACGTTGTTCTCCTGAACAATCGGTTTGCGTTTCATCTAACAAACGAATGATCTGTTGCCCTTCTAAATGTTCTGTCTTTATTGGAGGAGACTTGATAGGATGAATTGACGTAACTTTAAGAAAGTAAATGTCTGTGTCCCTCTAATAGAGAGTCAAAACAATTGATGAAAAATCACAAATCTCGACCTAATTTTTTGGAAAGCTAGAAGTGACGGTATTTATGATGCCAATAATGGACTTCATCTCAGTATTTATTCCACTAGACAAGTTAATTTTGTTTTATGGTGGATTCTGAACTTTTACCACGTAAAGAAACTGGTTTTGATTATGCTTGTGCGGAAATAGTTATTCGGTTAGCAGTATGTTATGCTTTTTTTTTTTTTTTTGAGAATCTCAAACAGAACATAACTAATTTTGTTGTTTTAATTAGGGTGTCCACGATGGGTTGGTTGGCGGGATGTCCAAAATTCGCGCGTGATTTTATCGCAAAAAATCGCGATTATAATACCCAACATAATTTCAGAGTAAAAACCTAGGATGAAAATTTTGATTATGTGGTCGACTAAATCACCCAATCAAAATTGATGTCGTCAAACAAAAAAGTTTAGTCGAAAATTCCAAGAGACAACCGGAGAAGAAAAATAATGAAATTAATAATTTCAATTCACTAGATAGTATCAAAAAAGCAAAGCGATGTAGTCAAAATGATGATATCATACAAAGGCGATAAGAAAAAATATAGAGTATGGTCATAATGCACGAACTTTAATCAAAAAATAATTCACAAAAAAATACATGCTTAAATATTACATTATTTATTTTTCTGATTGCGAAATAAATTTTAAATACATTGAGAAGAAGCAGCCGGTTAGATGCATTGAAGGGGAGATTGAATGTAATATGAGGAATTATATTTAACCTGATATCACGTCAAAATCTAAGGCCAAGAAGAAAGAAGGTTCGTTTATTTTTATAATCTTTCGTTTCTTTTTTTTTTTTTTTTTTTGAAATTAATAACCATTGGGTAGGACATGGGCTAGTCATTTTATTGGCTTATTGCACGTTTGCAAGTTAATGAGTTAATATAAAGAAGAACAATGCGGTTTATGATCAAATTTCTTGAATGTAAAATTTATTTCTTCTATTTATATAAATTAGCTCGCGGATTTAACTATATATTAAACAAGGTAATAGAGAGATATATATTTTTAATAAGAAACTTCAGGTATGGTGGAATTAATTGATATAAATAATTTATAAATAATTTTATTTTTGAATTTAAAGAATTTGAAAACTTCTATTATGTTTAAGATTTCTTTTCTTTTCCATTTTCATCAAATGAATCGACTTCCTTGGATTGTTTTTTCCAGATATTTTGATCCTTCCTTTTCTTATCATCTAATTGTTCATCACCAGGTTTTCTATAACTACCACCAAACTTATCCCAAATGGTAAAATATTGACCATAATTAAAGTTAAAATATAAATGATGAAGCGCATGATGTGCCGCACCATTGATAAACGATCCGGATGAAAGGAATTTACCTACAATCAAAGGAAAAAAAAATTTGTTAACTTTTTATAAATCATAGAAACCTTGATTCAAATACGAAAAAGCATGAACGGTTAGGTTACCATCATGGATCATGATTGTCCAAAGATTTACAAAGATAAATAACCCTATATATATATACTTATGTAAAGGAAACAAATATACGAAAAGATGATAAGGAACGGATTGAACATATCCATCTAAGGGGTGAAATGCATGAGATGCGTAAGGAGTTGGGACTGTAATCGAAAAGGGATTAATTTCACACCTCATTTATAAATAATCAACAAAAAATTAAAATATAAAGAACACTTACTGATCCAACGATGATGTGGCTATCATATATATGTATGTATATATCAAAAATATGAGAATTAAATATATTTTTTGAATGTCCCATATTTTGGAAATAAAAAAAAAAAATTACCTTATGCAAATGCTTGTAAATGAGTGGATGATGCAACCATCGATGAATCCAATAAATGCACATATCAGTAAAGAATAAAAACCAAACAATAGAGAATACAGCGTATATCAACCCATATTTATTAATATCATCATATAAAGAAGAATACCCTCTAACTTCACCAAGAAACCAAGGTATAGTAACAAGACTAGTAACAGGATAACCAATAGCAGATAACTTTATTTCTTTCGATATTTGATTTTTTAAAAATTTCGGATGTTTCATTAAATCTTTATCAAATATAGCAATGTATGATAACGTTGAAAAGAAAAAATAGAAAAAGTATACAAAAAAATTTGTAAGTATGAATAATGATAAAAATTGTCTATAACTGTTTTCACGAGGTATTACATTTGTATTAAAGGTGGAATTTGGTTGAACTCGTAGATAAAAACGCGCGTATAAATCATCAAAAATATAGTCGTCCGCAAAATCTAGTGCTATATCTACCATACTGACAATTCTAAGAAAGGAATAGGATTTGAAAATAAAAAATGAAAAAAAAGATTTTATGGTTAAAGTCTAACCAAAACTTAATTTAAATCTTTAATTACCTCATGCAGTACACAGTGCTTAATTTATCTTAGATCATCCCCTCATTGATGACATCACATGTTTGAACTCGTTATGATTAAAAAAAACCCATCTAGTTCTCTTTATTTATAAAAAAAAAAAAAAAAAAGTCTCATCAAATTATCTCTTATAATATACAAGTATATAATATACATCATCCTTTCCCTGATTAAATAAAAGATCACAGAAAATTAAAATTAATCTTTAAATTCTCAAAAATAAAGTTCTAGTGAAAATCGATCACATTAATATAAACAAATCATTCTAAATTGACTAATAAAATGATGGTCATGAAAATAGAACCTGTTTGTACAATTAAATGGAAAGAAAATGTTCATGACGTTTAAAAAATCATCATGAATTTGAATGCGATAAAAATAAGTTTTAGAAAAGAAGGGACCGATAAAATGAGACGTTCAATCGTCTAATCAAAAGAGAGAGACACATATTTGTTATTATCATAGATGAAATTAGAATCAAAGCATTGGTAATAATAGCCTTACCTGATACATTATTTCTTCATTCAATGATTTTACCTTTACATATAATAATGAAATTATTAACATGAATTATAAGTTTCGCTACACCTGATCATTTTCGAAGATTTATTATGTTTATTATGGTTCTTGTTCTTTTTTACAAAGCTAGCATTACTATCATTCCTTTTTGGAATAGGTTGTTCTGGACTAGCATAATTTAAATATACTCCATTAACATAATTCTGTTTGTAAAAATCAGGATCTTTTTGTTCGAAATCTGGTGTCATGGCGGATCTTCGTCTAGTATATTTCGTTACCTTCCACATTTCGTATTGAGATTTAATTTTTTTAATTAATGACATTGTAATTAAAGTTATGGAAGGGTGAGATGACAGAGTTACGAAACGCTACTAAATAAATCAATTTGTTAATGATAAAACCTTTTTATAATTATTAAAGATATCTTTTGTAAATAAATAAATAGAAATTAGAAAGTATTGAGAATAATAGAAGAGGAAAAAGGAAGTCGAATATAATGATAAAAAAAGGATTACAAGAAAAAGAAAGTAAAGCTTAATATAAAAGTAAAAGAAAGTTAGCAATGAACATTAAAAGAATCCCCTTTTTAGTATTGGTCACTTCCGGTGTAATTATAAAACGATTCTATTAAGATATTGTAAAGTGATCATTTGTCAAGTGTATTTAGAAATATTAAAATTCCATTATTGAACACAATGTAATACAGAATATCAGTTAAGCCTTAAGATAGAATTTATTTATATTTGCGTTTTATTATTATTTTATTTATTTTATTTTTTCAATTATTTATATAATTAAAATTACAAAAAATATATAATAATTGCCGAAACGAAATCTTAACAAAGGTTAATGACGCTCGCTTACTTTTTCGGTTCATTTCTAATACCGCTATTACTTGACCCTAATAATTCGTGCATTTTTTTCTGAGTCAATGCGTTAGAATAATGAAAAACAGCCTCGCTGACCCAACTTTGCTTGTAAAAATTGGATCTTCTCTGATCTTCAAGATTGACCGAATGTTCTCCTAATATTAACTACATGTAAACATAAATGTGAGATCTCACGTACATATATAATTATTAGTCACAACAAATAAATTTAATTACCTCTAAATCTCGACTTTGACTTTCCACCCATTTATTAATAAATTCAACGGGAGATTTCGCAAAATTTAATAAAAAGTCGCGTTTGGTTTTCGAATTGTTTATACTTTGTACACATTGAACAATCTAAAAATTATTCAAAAACGTGTAAGACTTTAATTAAATTCAAATAGATAAACTTATGGTTTGAAGCGAACCTTGTCATCAAAGGTTTGTATTTCCCTTTGGCTCGCACCGTTAGAAAGGATAGAAGAAAGTCTCGTTTTATTAGGGTCGTCAAATTCAACTTCAATATCGTAAGCATATCTTGATTGATGAAAATCTTTGTCTACTCTAAAAATTTCGGCAGAAAATAATTCAATATTGAGGGAAGGAAAAGAAAGATTAATTTTAAATTCATACCGAATAGTATATTCTATGACTATAGGATCAAAAGGTTGCAAATGCTTATTTAGCAATTCCGGCATTTGTGGGAATATCATCCGCGGACAATTGAAAAGCTAGAAGTAAGAACAAGTCAATATAATGTGCAAAGAATTTTTTTCGAAAAAGAAAAAAAAATCTTAAAAAAAATTTAAACATACTGATTCTAAGCGCGTATCATTGTTAATTAACCTCTTATCTTCATTGTCTTGTAAATTATTAATCTACAATTATAAATTATAAATCATTTTATAAATATTCGCCTCATAAATTCATACTTTTATAATAACCTTAATATATTGCCATAATGCCATAATAATTCCAGGTTTTGTTCCTTCATGCATGTCTAGCAAGTCCGCCAACTCCTCAGACAATTTATATTTTTGTGGTATATGCTCTATATTAAAGTATATTTTACATTTAAGATTCGTGTCTCCCTTTCGTTTAATCTCAAATCCATCAAAACCTTCAAGATTAGAAGAAGTCTTATTCCACTGTGATACATAAATATAGATTAAAAATTTGTAATCTATTAATAATTACTTAAAATGATGAAATAGGTTCCTTGCCTCAATTAAATTTCCATCTGGGTACATTTCAGGATCTCTATTCAATTCAACGATGATAGATTTAAAAAAAGAGGAAAATTTTCTAGGTGGAGCTTTAGTAGACTTGGTTGCATTTGGAAGCTTTTTAAAAAATAAATAAATATATATATAATCGTAATAAGTAATTGGGAGTAAAGAAAACCATAAAAAAAAATTTTTTTTATTTACGTCAAGCAACCTTCCTTCGATTCTAAGTATCCAAGCCGGAGTATTTGCGTCACAATATTCAAGTTCATTTTCATCGGTTTCCCTCTGCACAGGATTTTGATTTATTGCTGTATTGGAGATAAAAACTCGTAGCGTGCGTTTTACCTGCAGAATTTACAAAATTAAATTAATATTGAAACAATTTATAAACAAATGATAAATATAATAAGGATTACCCTCATTGGTTTACTAATAGTTTCCTGTATCTCAAGACGTTTCCTTGAAATTGTCGTATCCAGTCTCCTTTCAAATTCTTGAAGTTCTGTATATAAACGAGACTCGGGTACAATAGCATTTAGCTATTCCAATAAATAAATAAAAATTTAATAGAATTATTTCGAATTAATATAATGTTTATCATTATGAAAATTTTCTCACCTTCTCGGGAATATTTCGTTCAACTGCTCTTTTTTTCCTATTTAGGAATGATTTTTTTTTAAAAAAAAAAAAAATGAATAATTCATAAAAAAGATCAAAATTTAGCAGTACAATTTTCAATATAATAGACTTACTTTGACTGTTGTGCACCCATATTCGAAGGAGGGTCGGGATTAATTCGTTTCCTTATTACTGTTGGTACTGGCGCTATTGCTACCGTTGAAGGACCAGCGTGCTGTGAAGCAAGAATCGGGCGAGGTTGGTTTGTATTTGCCATTGTTGGCCTTTGTGGTTGAATATACTAATAAAATAATTAGAAACGTTACAACTTTATATTGATATGCACGCAGAAGTATGTTACACATATTCTAAACATAATTCCTGGTGCAAGCCAAAAATGGGAAAGCTGAGCTGTCCGTTGAGTTTCTGCTTAGGCGTAACTCAGAATCTATAGAATTGACGCGAGAGTATGTATTTTGTTGTCGTGTAACTAACCTGAGAATGTCCATAAGACTGGTATGGAACTGGGCGATACTGATATTGTGGAGGTATTCCTTGTATTCCTTGCGGAAGAACAAGAGGGGTTGAGTAGCCTGAAGGTGCGACAGCACGTTGAATTCTTTGTGGATTCATATTTTTGTTATTAAAAAAAAAAGAGAGGTCTGGCTTTATAAGAAAATCCCTAATACGCCAATTTAATGTGATAGGTTGGGTGGTCATGTGATAATAATTAGCCTAATTGGGTTAAACTTCAAAAAAAATTTATTTTTTATTTTTATTGTAAATCCTTCATTAAATTTATATTAATAATACAATCTTTTTAACACAAGTCATGCTCCTTTCTTTCCCATATCTGAAAAATAAAAATATGATATTATTGATCATGAACAACAAGTTGAATAGATTAAAAGTTTTTGAGAAAGATTACCTGAATATAGCTCTCAGATAAAAATATCATTTGTGCATTGATTTCCTCAACAATTAAATCTTGAATTTGATACCATTGATCTTTTCCACGATGTTGAACATGAACTTTATAGATACCATTGCCCTTTCCTGGCCTACCTTCATGGCAAATATTTGCGATTAAATCATAGCGAGTATCAAGCATATCTTCATCCAGATTCTCAAGGTCTATTAAATTTTATTAAAAGAAAAAATTTGATAAAACATATATATATGTATTAAAATCAAAAAAAAACATTTTGTCTTACAGTCTCTCATGTCAATATTTTTGATTGGAAAGTTAACTATTGTTGGATTTTTCTCCGCAGACCAATTATTTTTAGTAAATCGTTTGATATGAAAAACGATATAATTTGGTAGACGAGTAAGTTGGAACCTTTTCAAAGTTCCAACCGATTCTTGAGAAGTACGACCATCATATTTAGCAAGTATCGTTGTCAAAGCAATCTAAAAAAAAAGCGTACGTATTATTATATTTTGAAATAAAAAAGAATGGAATCTTGTCATGAACTTACCTGAGGTATAATGTTCTTTTCAACCCCATCCTTGAACAGGGGAGGCGCAGGTAAATCCAACGTTAAAAATAGAAAAGGTGATATATTGACCGAAATTTCTATTATATTAAAAAAGCAAAATATTCAAAAAAAAATCTCGATATAAAAAATTTATCATTAATGAAATGTATCAAATTATGCGGACACTTCACGTTTGGCCAAGATTAGGGACAAACACCTTATTTTCACCTGCTTCTCTTTATGTCCTATGCTCCTTCTGCTCCCTTTCAAATATAAGAAAAATCACTTTCTCCATAAGTACATTAACTTATAGATAAAAATTACATATTCTTGCTAAAATGACCGCATAATTTGATTGTCATCTGTGTTCTAAACAATAGGCTAAATAAAAAGTTCTTCGATATTTTTACCTCTGTCAAGATCGAACAACAATCGTTCTTCTTCATCAGCATCATCTTTTATAAGAACCGACTGTGCTTCAACTTTGACCTCACCTTGAAATATCTTATAAATAATACCTAAAATTGATAATGAAATATCAACATTAATGATGATATTCATTCATAAATATATATAAAAGACAACGTACTCGACTTTGGTTTTCTCGTTCCACCCAAATCTTTATGCAATGTATTCAAAAACCAGGAAAGAAATTCAAGAGGATCACTTTGTTCAGCAAGTTTAAATTTTTTGCCGCTCGCGTTAACAATCTCCTGAAGTAACTCATGTGGGCTGACTTGGCCTTTAAATGCTCTGGGATTCCAAATTTTTCTAACCAGAGTACTGAACCTTTGCACTGTGTATGTAGTAATAATATAATATTAGAAACGTTAAATTTGCACGAAATTATCACGTTTATAACATATGTTTATGGTTTACCCAATTGAGACTTTGATTCAAAGTTTTGCAAGATGAAGAAATCTCGAAGGGGTGGAATGTGTGCCAACGCTTGTATTATAACATTAACATAATCGTTGGCTTTTACATTGTTAAGACCCACAAAACCTGCATATAGCGAACAAATCGATATCATCAATTAAATTAATCATATAAAATACGATTGAAATAAAAGTAAAAATAAAAACTCTCAAATAATTTACCAAGTTGTTACCTGGCAAATATTTTTTGTTATTTAAGTCATATGAATGTCTTATATTTTGATCCAATTTCGCGACTTGTTCTTTCGTAAAAGTTGGATGAAGTACATACTATATATAAAAATAATGTAAGAAAGAATTCAACTATACTGAATTAATCTGTTAAAAAAATTTTAGATTTACGCTCACCTTAATATCATCTAATGATGAATCATTGACTTCGTATCCATCAGGTAAAACGTATACCTATTGAAGATTATAAATAATTTCAGAAATTGATTATAACAAGTAATGAATTTGTTTAAATCAAACTCATACCCTAAGAGTATGTAAATTGATGAAAACGTGGTGATTCTCATGCAAACTATGAAAATACGCGTGTGATTGACGTCCTCGGCCTAATAAGAATAATGATACAAAAACAAATCAAACAACTGAAGAATTTATACAATTCAATTCAACGTATATAGACAAAAAGTTTTGAATAATATTCACCTTGGAAATATTTACCACACACCAAACACGCATATACGTTTAAATTTGACAAAGAAACCGAGCAGACTTTTTCAAAGTCAAAGTCCAACATATGCCGATTTATCTATAAAAAAATAAGTAAGCGTTGTCAGGAATTGAAAAATAAAGGACTTTTTGAGTTAACGTACGGTGTCCAGATAAAGATCGTTAGTAGCCGAAGGTTCGGCACGAATTCTTTTCATATCAGGCTGAGATACATCGTCGTCTTCGGCAGTTTTGCTCAAATCACGCTTAGGAGCGTCTTCTCGAGGGTGTTGTTCAGCAAACATTTTATAGTCAATAAAAAGAACTTATTTCATTTTATCATCTATTTATTTAATTCAGGCAATTGATCGACTATCCAATCAGCAATCAGAATTCATATTCGTTAAGAAATTAAAAAAAAAATGTTATATAAAAATATTTACACGAATATTACGAAGTATTCTAGTTTAAAATAAATTGATTGACCCAACGACTAATTAAAAATAAATAATTTCGAAAAATAATTTTTATTATGAGGTTTTTGATTTGCTTTTTTTATCCTTCTTTTCTTTTTTCACTTTTGATTTTTTCTTTTCTTTCTTCTCTTCTTCTTCGTCAACAATTGTCGCAACTTCAACTTCAGAAACTGCAGACTTCTTTTCTTTTTTAGATTTCTTTTTTGAAGTCTTCTCTATCACTTCTTCAGCATCACTTTCTTCATCTGATTTTCTCTAACATTGCGAATAAAATAAAGTCATAAATAAAAATTTTCAATAAATTAGTTCAACATAATAAAAATGAACTAAATTACCTTCTTTGTGGAAGTCTCCTTAATCTTAACCTTCTTTGCTTTCTTTTCTCTCTTCGATGGTTTGGATCCTTCTTCTGCTTCAGGAACATCAGATTCTTCTTCGGCTTTCCTCTGTTTTCATACAAAAAACAACATTATTAACAAACTTTTTTTTTGTTTTTTTAAGAAAGATTTTTAACGTACCTTCACAGCTTTACTTGTTCCACCTTCTACTAACTCGGGAACAGGTGCTGAAACTACTGCGGATGTAGACGGCGTAGTAGAAATTAAATTCGCAGGTGTAGTTGGTACTGCATCGCTCTTGGTACCAACTGCACTGAGGTCTACAAATGAAGTCTTCCAAGATTCAGGGGTGTTATCATTTACGCGACCATATTTATCTAATTTTCCTTCGAAAATGAGTTTCTTTTTTTCCATAGCCTATTAAACAGAAGTTTAATTAATTTTATTTTTAAAAAAGAAACTAAGCAACATAATTTGTCAAATAATATTATTGACCTTGGGTCCTAACCCCCATGCTCTTGGATACGTATCTCGTTCCATAATTACTCTCTTAATTTTTGCGACAACTCCTATAAAACACATTTAGAAATGTGTGAATTAAAATAAGAATGAAGGCAAACGCGAATAAAGATTCATACCATGATCCACGGAACTCATAACCGCAGTTGTCATCAATGCTATACCAAGAGCGATAGCTTCTCCTTTTGTGGTCATTAGAACAATTTCTTCGTGAAGTTCAATACCATCCTCATATCTAAGCAGACCTGGTATCATAAGTTTGGCGCCGTAACAAATAGCATTTACAGCGCTATCTTTGACAACAATTCTCTTATAAGTTATCAAGAGAGATTCAAGAGGACGAATAACCCTTCGAAGATATGATTCTAATTGAAATAAACAAATCGGTAGTTATAATTAATAATTATGGAATTGACATATATTATTACATGCAGTTTATAAATTACCGTCTTTCGTATTCTTGTGAACCCATTTGGCATCCAAAACATCATGCATTGTTACCATATCATCCTATAAATTTTTTTTAAAAAAATAAAAGCTTAAATCTCCACACAATTAACAATAATAGCAAAATCAAAATTTTCGTTTACTCACATTCTCGGACATTGCACCGGAACGAACACGTCGAAGTTCTGCCATATGAGCACCGACACCAAGGATCAAACCCAAATGTACGCAAAGCGTTCTGATATAAGTTCCAGCTTCACAGCTGACCCAAAACACACCCAAGTGACGATTTTCGTCGTATTCAATCAAGTTTGTTTCATGAATGGTACGAATACGTAATTGACGTTTTACAGCAGATATCAAAGGAGGCCGTTGGAATAGAGCTCCAGTAAGGGTCTCTAAGCCTTGTACAAACTTCTTGGCAGATTCAAGAGCCTCATGAAATCGAACAACGCACACGTATTCCTTTCCTAATGAAATATAAAGATCAAAATCTCATCTCTAATAAAAATTTTATTTGTATATCAAATAATAAACGACAAATACCTGCACTTTGTTGTGATTTAACTAAACGAGTCGCCCGATCTACACAAACTATCAAACATCCCGTTACTTTAGGATCTAATGTACCACTGTGTCCTGTCTTTTCAACTTCGAGGATACGTCGTACCCACGCAACAACCTCGTGTGATGAGGGATTGGCAGGTTTATCGAGATTGATGATTCCATATCTAATGAATTTATTTAACGAACTTAGCTCAAGTAAGATTCGTGGAAACAAAAAAGTAACTTTCATGAGCAAACAAGTACCTTATATAATCATTTAATTCACGTTTAAGTGGTGAGCATCCCTGAATAACAGGGGTGTAATGCCCTGTACGAACGTGAAGTTTATCATAATTCTTTAATACAATAAATAAGTAAATTAGTGCTCGTTGTATTAAAGTTTAATCAAAATTTTAAGAAAGTACTAAACACAAACTTTTAAAAGTAAAGGCCATTCCGATGTGTTCAAATTCGGGGTATGTTTTTGAGGCTTGATAGCGAAATCACTTAGTTCGTTGGCCATCTTCTGAATCAACTAAAAGGCAATATAACGAATTATTAATTAGCTTAGAAATCAAACAAAAATTTAATAAGGTTGCATATTTTCTTCTTTTGTTAATTAATCAACTCACTTTTTAAATAATTAAATTCTAAAAAAATAAAAATAAAAAAAAATTTTTTTGGGATCTTCTGATAACCTACATCAGTTATGTTCTGATTGGATGGAAAATTTCTCGTGATTCAAAAACGAGAAAGTAAATCATGTGATCGAAATATTATTTTTTGGCATCGATAGGTTGCTTAATTACAAGATATTATGGAAAAAGACAGGCACACGTGCAGATAACTATGGATCAATATTTATTTTAAATTTTCATATCTCAATCATAAGATCTCGTAACAAATTTGCCTCTCATACTATCATCAACCTTTTTCTTGATTTCTTCATTAGCGACCAATTCCAAAGAATGTTCATTAAAAATATTGGAAAAGCTCATTTCCACAAAATCAAATTTTCTTGTAAATAATTGTATTGATGGTTGATTGTTTGTAGAAATCTTGGCTATAAATTTTGTTACATTTAATTTATTTATCGCATAATGAAACATTAGCAACAAAGCATTCTTTGCTAAACCTGATCGGCGATATGATTGTTCTTTAAAAAGATGGCAATGATATATTAAAATAAAGTTATTATAAAGGTTTAATTAAGAATATTATTAGTAATTGCACTAAAAAATTTCAAAAATAGCTTTTACAAAGTAAGTTTAGTAACAGGTGAATTTTTACTATTAAACTTAGTAAAATAACTCCGCGGTCTCGGTTTTACTAAGAAAATTTAGTAATAACTGCTTATTTTTTAAAAAAAAGGAAAAGAAGATATTAAATTAAAATTAAGTTTACCTGCTATCATGATTTCAATTTCGGCAATACTCGGATTATCACTATCATTAAAGAATAAATTCACATCACCAATCATTTCTAAATTAAAAAAAACATTAGAATACTTTAAAAAGGTAATTTCAATAATAAAACGTAACATACTTGCAGATTTTATTTCTTGATTTGTTAATTCATGTGATACCTCTGGCTTTGCCAAAACTATAAATGTGCATTCTTTCGGAAACAATTAGATATTAATATTTACTTTTCAAAATCAATGAAATAAACCATAAGAGCATCATACTGTTTTCGTCGACATGCCAAGACCTTTGCATCTCGTATTCTTGTTCAAGCGTTAATGGTTCTGATGCTGTCATTTCTAAATATCCAACGTAAAAATAATCGGAACATTAATAGAAAATAAAAATCGTCTTGAATGAATTTTATGAATTTACCCCGAAGAAACGGTGATTGCATCCATTCATGGTATTTAGGTACATGTTCGGGCCTATATGGAACTAATATAACATTTTCTCCAACCTACAATTATTAAAACAGAAAAAAAAAATATTAGATAAATCGAAAATAAGAATAAATAAAACATAAGATACTTCCAATGACCAAGTTCTCGTTTTGTTTCATAATTACTTGTCATTTGGACAGATGTATTTCATAGTTTTATATAAAATTAGTAATGATAATCCAATCGCCCACCCACATAAAACTATATCCATCCGTTTAGATCAGATCTTACATTTATATAAAATGTCCACTTCACGATATATATATATTTTTTTTTTAAAAAAAAAAATTTCCCAAAATCACCGACCACTATGTTTAAAACTTATTTCTTACCTTCCAATTCACCCAACTACTAAAAAAATAATTAAAATAAAATCTTCTAGTAACAACAATCTTTAACCACATTCACTTGTGTAATTAATATCACGAGGGACAAAATAATACCAACAATATTACTTTTTTTTTGAGAAATACTTTCATGATTGAACATTTATAGCCCATTCCTAAAATTGTAATGTCGGAAGCTTTACATTAAAAAATTGTGAAGATTAATTTAAGGTTAAAACAAATCTAAACAAAAACCTCAAGATTCCTTTACTCCGCCAATACATACACCTCTATTTTTTTAATGATGAAATCTTGAGATTCCAAAAATAAATTTCGAAGGGTAAGCCCGGAACCCAAAATTCTTTTTGTGGTTTATCAAGGTCGAATTGCCCCGTGGGCAAGGTGGTCGTTTGATAGTTTATCTCCTTGCCCACGGGGCCAGTTCGGCCCATATGAAAAAAAGAGTACTGGTTTAAAATAGTATTTCAAAAGACATAAAAGAAATTTACAATATCCAATGATTTTTATTTAGAATGCATTCGTTTTTTTTTTATTATTGTAGAAAAAAATTGATTTTGTTTTGTTCACATTTAGCTAAAGTTAAAGGATATAATAAAAAGTTATACTTAATTCTAAAATTCTAAAATTCATATCTTTAAAAGTTCTTTTTTTCAACTGTGAAAGTTAAAATACATGTTAAAATAAAATCTCGAGGCTGAAAATAAGTCAACGTCAGTGGCTTATTCAGCCAATCAATCAAAATGTGTCACATTTCCTACACTAATACATCCTTGTTAACTTTTTATCTAATATCTTTTGATAGAAGGTATGTAGTTGCAAAAAAACAAATTTTTTCTAAATTTCTATAAAGAAAATCCTACAAGAAAAAAATCTTACGCGTTTTATAATTTTGTCATATGATCTCAGTAAAAAGCCACGATTTTACAAGTTTTGTATTTAACAAATTTTCTTGAGGTTTGGAAGAATTCAGTTATGGAAGGAAATCACTTTACCTTCACATGGAAAATAAGTTGCTTTAATGAGCTCGTGGCTCGACACCCAAATGGTAGCTTTTTCTATAGTGAAAGATTTTGGTCACCGAGGGGTCAAAGTGTAAAGTCAAGTGACATCAATGCCATTAATGAACAAAATAACTCTTACAATAATACGGGATATTTATGGAGGTTAAAATTGTTTCCTAATGGCGTAGATAAGATATCAAATGATTTCATTTCTCTTTATCTTGAATCAATTCAGACACATTATGAAAAACAAAATAATATAACGGGTAGACACACGAAATTTCAACTATCACTTTATCGAGATTTAAATATTCCAACCACAAAGCAAAGACCTATACTTGTAATAGACCGTCATACCTTGGAGACGAAATTTGAATTCAACGGAGTAAAGGCGGATTATGGATTTGCAAGGATAGTTCCTCTTAGAGAAATATTCCCAAATGATACTGAAGTAGATTTAATAGTTCGAGCTCAAATCTTTGAAGATGCCATCACTTCCGGAGAAGGTTCGAGTTCAATGGACATAAATAATGTATCACTTATGTCCTTTGAGAGGTATTTTGGAGTGGATAGATTTTGTGATGTTGAATTCGTATTTGATTGTGGTTCAAGTATGAAAGCACATAGAGTTATCCTTACAGCTCGATCAACATATTTTGAAAAAATGTTGGAAGGAGAATGGTTGGAAGGTCATATGAAAACCATCTCTATTAAAGATATGCCATTTGACGCGTTTCGATGTATTGTTCATCATCTTTACACCGGAAAACTTGAAGAGGGATTAACATTTGAGCTTTTAAGAGAGATTTATTCTAAGGCTGATATGCTTAGCTTAGAACACCTTGGTCGAATGGCCGCAAAAAGGATTATTAGGCTGATGAATCATGAAAATTGGGATCAAATCTTAATGTTGGGCTGGAAATATTATGATGACCGATTAAAAGATGCTGGCCAAGATTTCGCTGTAAAACATTGGAACGTTATAAAGGATACTGACAACATGAAACAAGTTTTGGCAAGTGGTCACGTTGATCGTATTGTTGAATTGGTCTTACAAAGTTTTTTTACACCGAATAATAGGATAGGTGAGTGTTTGAACCTATTTACAGACTTGTTACTATATTGCATTGGACATGTTTTTTTAATATACGATTTTCAATTTATGTCCCAGAGTTCTTATGATTTCTTTCCTACTTATTCACGAAGGGCAAGAGTGATTAAATTCTTCTTTGATCGAATGAATTTTTGAATCCACCCTTCTTATAATACAAGTAGTTATCTTTTTATAATATTTTTAATTCCAAACATCAAAAATTTGCAATTGCGCAATCTTTATTTTTTATTATTAGAATATTAATAAAATATTTTAAATTTATTAAAGTTAATGGGGTAGAATTTCATTGACTTTTACATATTTTTTTTAGTGTATTTTATTGAATATTGTAGAAAGTAATTTACTTTTTTACTAATTAACAATATTTGAATGCTTATCGGTACTATTAATTAAGAAAAAATTTTGTTAGATTAATTAATAATATTATTAGTTTTACTGTTGCTTTGTTATAATGAAATGTACCTTGATAAAACCAATATCTTTGGAATATTCACGAAAGCATTGACGGCAAACATTTAGGTTATATTTACGGATTAAACCGGCACGATGAGCACATACACGGCTTTATTATTCAATAAAATAAAAATGTTGGTATAACTAAAAAAAAAAAAAGAAAAAAACGGATATTTAACTTACCACTCGCGAGAACCTTTTCCATAACGACGAGGACGAGAAAACCAAACTTGATCGTGAGCCATCTTTTTACGTTTTGTTTGTACGTACTTATATGTTTGATATAAAATCTCAGAGGATGGTTCAAAATTTTTTTCGATCCTCTCTAAATTCTAAAATTTGATATCATGTGAATCATAATTGTCACGTGAAGTGTTGTTTTATTGGTCGACTAATTAAATTTTTTTGATTAAAATAAATTAAAATATAACATTTTTAAAATGAAGTTTGATAATTAGAAATGAATGAATTTATTTATTAAAATAAGATTAAGTAAAAATTTTAAAATATATTATTTAATTAATATGAAGAAAAACAGATCTTATAAATAATTAATATAACATTAGATATTTATATACTTAATTATTTTAAAATTATTTATTTTATTAACATCTTTTTTACATTTATAATAACTTTAATAAACCATATATTTTAATATGTTATAGATGTTTTGAAAAGAAAGAAATTATAAAAAAAAATTTTACTTTATATGCTAATAAGATTTTTTTAATAAAATAAATTCAGATTTATAAAAAATATATTTTTTTAATTGCTTATATATATTTTTTTATAATTTTTATATTATATTTTTAAATTTTTAAATTTTAAAATTATTAAAAACTAAAATATATAAATAATATTTTAATATTTTTTTAAATTTTAAGAACTATATTTATTTAAATTTTAATTAGTTATTTTAAAAATATTTAATTAATTTATACCTTTTTAAAAAAAAATTATTTAATTTATTAAATTATGTATATTTTTTAGTTTATTATAAAAATAAAAATAATATATATATATAATAAACTTAACTTAAATAGTAAGTTTAAATAAAATAATATAATCAGATATTTATTTATAAAAATTTATCTTTTTATAATTATTTAATAAATTTAATTATTATTATATAATTACAAATTAATTATAATTAATATTATCTATAATTTTTAATATAAATATTATTTTTATTAATAAATAATTATTTTTATAATTATTATATAATTTTAATAATTTTAATTAAATTATAATTTAATCAAAATTATAACCTTATAACTTTATAATTATTTACTTTTAAAATTTATATTATATAAATTATTTAAAATTATTTTTAAAAATAGTTATTACTAAAATAAAAATATTTTATAAATTAAATAACTCTATAGTTTTTAAAATTTTATACATTTATACATTTATATAATCATATCTTTACATAATCATAAATTTTAGAAAATCAATTAGATGATTATTAAAACTTGTAATAAAAAAGAAAAATTGACAAAAAAATTCAAATTTATTTTTATATATTAAATATAATTTTTAGATTAAAAAATATAGGACTTTATAATAGAAACTATTAGAAAAATAAAAAATGAGTTAATGCTAAATTTAAATATAATTTAATTTAAAAATAATTTTTGATATATAAAGTAAATTATTTTTTTCTGGTAGTTTTTTTATATGTTTAAATTTAACATTAATATATTTTATTTTTAGAAGTTTTTTTCTTTTTATTGTAAAAGTTTTATATTTAATAAAAATAATATTTTATAAATTTATAATATTATAAAATTTAATATCTAATTATAATATTTACTGCGGTTTTCAAAATTATGTGAATTTCAATTTTGAGGGAATAGTAGATCGGCAGCAAAAAAATCGTAATTTCTTGATTTCTACCGAAGCGTATCATCTGATTTTTGTGAGAGTGTGCTTATATTGAAATTTTTTTCTACAATAAATTATTTCAGAACTGTACTAATATTATACTATAAAAACATAAGCTATACCTTGTAAGCTTTGCCATGAATTCTTCGAATACTTTTTTTCTGAATTCCATAAATTAAAAACGAATTTCGCAAATTCCATACGAATTCTACAGAATTTTAGTGAATTATGTTTGCTAAGACTAAATTTATGAAGATTTGAAAGTTTCTTTTTTTTTTAATAAATTGTGAGTATATTTTGATTTTATATTTATATATTTACTTCATAATCTAATTCAATATATAATTTTGTTAGAAATGAAAAATTTAAGTAAGGATTTGAAATGGCGTGTTGTATTTTGTATCGCAGAAGGGTACACACAAAAGAAAACTGCAGAAAGATTATACATTAGCATAGGAACCATTAATAAAGTTTATAATATATATAAACATTGGGTTGTGTTATTGATTCATTTTATAGAAATCAAAGAAGAAAGAAAACATTTAATACATATGATATGAAGGTATTAAATTTTTAAATGAGTTTTTTTTCTCTTAAATTTTTAAAATGATCATTTATTATATAATTTTAATAATAGGTATTATAGGAACTTATTAAAGGAAAGGTTGATTGGTTTCTGGATGAATTAGTTTATGAAATAACTCAAAGAACTGGTAAAATAGTATCTGTACTAACTTTATGGAGGTCTTTAAATTTTTGTGAGATTACTAGAAAAAAAGTAAGCAATATATTTTGATTTATAATTTGAATCCTTAATTAAATAAACACAATTGATGGTGTTTATAATTATAGTTACAGAAAGCTGCAAGAGAGAAAAGTGAATTGTTGAGAAGTGAATTTATTTTAAAAATAAGTGAATTTAGTTCTGAACAATTAATTTTTATAGATGAAACTGCCAAAAATGAACGAAGTTTAAGTAGAGCTTATGGATATTCTATAATTAATACAAGAGCAAAAAAATCAGTTGTATTTGTAAGGGGTATTAGGTATACTATCTTACCAGCTTTAACATTAAATGGATTTATTGCAGCTGAAGTTATTGAAGGAAGTTGTAACAAAGAAAAGTTTCAAACATTTATTGTGAATCAAGTGGTAAGTTATTTTTAAAGTTAATATATAAAAG